ATTGATTTTGATTTACAAACATTCTCTTTGGTGTAGTATCTTGATAATTGATCATCTTGGTTCTTAAAAAATGTTCCGACATTGAATAGAAATAATTATATTGTCAGTTAATATTTAATATAAAATAATGGAGATAGGTTAATTTGATGATTTATTTCAATATGCCTCTTAATTGGCTGATTTGGCATTAAATGTTGGTATATGATCCTATTTTGATAAATAAATAGGATTTGTGTTGGGTCCTCTAATTGGATACGTGGCTCAATATTAATTGATAAAGTAATAGAAGAGTGTAGGTTCATTTTCAACTGATGTATGTGCAATATTATTGTTTGCCAATTTGTTAAGAATTGTATTTTGGTATGAAAAACGTTTTGAAAGTGCATTATTGTATCAATCAGTTCTGATGATCATGATGTAAGTAATAAATCATACTATATTCTTAAGGTTGAATTATTAAGACTATGTCTGACAATAAAGAATAAGTCAGTTTATAAAAATAAACCGGTCTCATTCTTTGATAGCCCATTAAATAAATTTTGGAGATGGACCTAATTAAACTCTTATATAGCATGTTTGATCACCTTCTTAATTTTTGTATTGATATCTAGTTATTTGAATCTTGGTAACCCTCAATATTGGGAAATTATAGGATTTCTAAGTTGTGCAATAGAAGTACTAATAAATTTATATTAATAAGGCCACTTTGGGATTACCTTAAGCTATAAAAAATCATACATCAAAAAGCGTGAAAGGATTATCATACACAATGATAGGATCATGGTTTTTAGGAGATGCATTTAAGACATTTTACTTCATTGTCAAAAATTAACCAGCTTAATTTGTGATGTGCGGAGTAATCTAATTAAGTGTTGATATTTGGATTATGCTATAAATAGCAGTTTTTAGTTCTAAAAAAGGAGACTTAGCAGAAATATGATTTATTATGGAATTAATATTTGCGATTATGATTAATATCATTTTGGTACAACTGAGTTATCCCAAACACTGCAAGTGTTACGTCCTCCTTAAAGATAGATGTATCCATCTACTCCCCATTTAGTAGACCATGAGTTTTTAACAATGAGAGCTTCAGAAGTGAAACCAACGGCCAAAACAGCGTGGTTGACTTATCCTGTGCATTCAGAATCTGGGAAAATGTAATCATCAGATTTGGGTTTATAGTTCTTCCAATCTGAGGCCTTGACAGCAACTGAAACTGGTCCTTATTAGAGAGCAGCTTAGTGAGCAGCTTCGTTAGCGGCGATGGCAGTTGATCCATTGACTTTATAGGGGCCTCCTTTAATTCTGCAGCTTCCAGTTTCCTTAGCGGTCTATTTAAGAATTAATATAAAATATTACATATGGATAAGCATCTTCGGTTGTAAGACCATTTCTCTTGACATAGTTCAAAGCTCTTGATGGCATACCTCCATTGCATCCTTAGTTGAAGTCAATTAAAGTTGAGCAATCAACTAATTATTATTCTGAGAGATCTGGTAATTCACCAGTTGTGACCTTGAAGAATCCTTCCAAGACACCAGTTGTACTGAAAGCCCAGCATGAACCACATTATCCTTAGTCTTTGACATATTGGACTGCACCTCTTGTTCTCCAATCGATTGGTGTAGCATTGACATTATTGAATTCAGCTTTTGGTACTTCCAAATCATCAGGGTTGATTTAGAGGGTCAAATAATTTGCAGCAAATTCTTCATCGGTAAGATCTGTGAATTAAGTTTCACCGAAGATTTCTCTTCCTAATTTTTCGTTTCTGGCTTTAATATCAGCAAGGTTAGCTTAATAAACTGATAATCTATAGAGGAGTTCAGATCCAGAATATTATTTGTTGAATGTGGCTTAATAATTTGTAAATTATGTAGCCAATTAAACTTCAGGAACGCTTTGAACATTGTAAAGTGTTCCGACTAACATCAATAAACCAATGGCAAGGAGTGTCTTTTCCATATTTAAATAATATTATTTTCAATGTCATAATCATCGATTTTTATAATACTAATGATGATGTCATCATACACTTTGATTGACTAAGTCATTTTAATTTGTTCATAGCCCTTCCAGAACTATAATTATTATAAGAAATAGCCACTCCCATTATAGCCCATGTCATACTCAACAAGTAACCTCCAAAATTAAGTAGCATATTTTTGTTATCTAAAGATACATAATTATATTTAGACTACATTATTTAGAATGAAAATAAGCTAAGCACAAATAGATTGAATGTGCTATTATTAAACATATCCACACTAGTTTGGATATCATATCTTATGTAACACCAAAAACATGCACTAAACAAATGCAAAAATTCAAACATTAGGCACTTGAAGTCCATCCCAATTAAAATGCTATTGTTCCTCTCATCAAATATATTGACCAATCATCATTATCCAAAACCAAAGTACTTTTCCAAAGTAAATAAATATTCTTGTTATGATTTGATTATAAATACAATTGTTAATAAAATTAACACAATTTTACATAGAAGAATTGTTATTTTACTAACAACAGCCCATAATAATATCCAAACTGATATTGTAAAGCAATAAAGCCAAAAATATAAATGGGTTTCTAAACTCCAAGACACAGTGTGAATACTCCATAATAATGCTATTAATGTAGTTGCTTTATTAATTAAATATCAATTAATACTAAATATGATTCCCCAAATAGAAAATGCCCAAGGAGGAGGTGTTACTACTAAATGATAACTATCACTTGTAGATTTTCCTGTTTTTACTCCAATTGTCCCATTTATTATTAATGCTAAAATGTATGCACAAACAGAAATTCTATTATAAATCTAATATATTACATTGAGACCATATTATAGTTTTTAAATTTGACACCTTGTCTGAAAGGAATTGTCTATGATTCATATATTAGATTGAACACAAAATCCATTATTACTTTTATATAAGAAATATATTATTCTTAAAGTTATGAATTAAAACTTCTTTAAGAATTCTTGAAATATAAATAATAAATATCATTATTCTTCTTCTGAACTACTAATCTTGCACTTATCATATTATATTTCATTATATTTTCAACACTTAAGAAATAATTCAAAGAATATTTTCATCCAATTTTAAGCTAGTTCATATTTAAAATTAAAGATTTCAAATTATAAATCAATCTTTTTATTTTTCCATTCACAGTATAATTAAATATTATTATTTTTTATTTTGATATTTTCTTACTAATTTCTAAGTATTTAGGAAAAATAACTAGGAGGTATTTGATAGNTCATCATACACTTTGATTGACTAAGTCATTTTAATTTGTTCATAGCCCTTCCAGAACTATAATTATTATAAGAAATAGCCACTCCCATTATAGCCCATGTCATACTCAACAAGTAACCTCCAAAATTAAGTAGCATATTTTTGTTATCTAAAGATACATAATTATATTTAGACTACATTATTTAGAATGAAAATAAGCTAAGCACAAATAGATTGAATGTGCTATTATTAAACATATCCACACTAGTTTGGATATCATATCTTATGTAACACCAAAAACATGCACTAAACAAATGCAAAAATTCAAACATTAGGCACTTGAAGTCCATCCCAATTAAAATGCTATTGTTCCTCTCATCAAATATATTGACCAATCATCATTATCCAAAACCAAAGTACTTTTCCAAAGTAAATAAATATTCTTGTTATGATTTGATTATAAATACAATTGTTAATAAAATTAACACAATTTTACATAGAAGAATTGTTATTTTACTAACAACAGCCCATAATAATATCCAAACTGATATTGTAAAGCAATAAAGCCAAAAATATAAATGGGTTTCTAAACTCCAAGACACAGTGTGAATACTCCATAATAATGCTATTAATGTAGTTGCTTTATTAATTAAATATCAATTAATACTAAATATGATTCCCCAAATAGAAAATGCCCAAGGAGGAGGTGTTACTACTAAATGATAACTATCACTTGTAGATTTTCCTGTTTTTACTCCAATTGTCCCATTTATTATTAATGCTAAAATGTATGCACAAACAGAAATTCTATTATAAATCTAATATATTACATTGAGACCATATTATAGTTTTTAAATTTGACACCTTGTCTGAAAGGAATTGTCTATGATTCATATATTAGATTGAACACAAAATCCATTATTACTTTTATATAAGAAATATATTATTCTTAAAGTTATGAATTAAAACTTCTTTAAGAATTCTTGAAATATAAATAATAAATATCATTATTCTTCTTCTGAACTACTAATCTTGCACTTATCATATTATATTTCATTATATTTTCAACACTTAAGAAATAATTCAAAGAATATTTTCATCCAATTTTAAGCTAGTTCATATTTAAAATTAAAGATTTCAAATTATAAATCAATCTTTTTATTTTTCCATTCACAGTATAATTAAATATTATTATTTTTTATTTTGATATTTTCTTACTAATTTCTAAGTATTTAGGAAAAATAACTAGGAGGTATTTGATAGTATACTCATTTATTAATTTTTAAGTTATTGAAATCATCACAAAGATTAAATATGAAGTAAAATATTTTAATTATAAGCTTTACTTTTATTGAAAGTCAACCCATTAAATATTATGATTTTCTTTAAATCTTTCCTATTAAAACAATTATTCATAATTATATAATACAAAATTTACCTTTCAAATTATTATGAATTAATTACATCTAAACAAGTTTTATATCTTTTTTATGAATCGCTTATATGATATCTTAATGAATATATTATAATTATTTTTATTATCATAATTCTCTCTTTATACAATGATATTAATAGAAAGTACTGATTTATCTATTATTATAATAATTTAGGATTATTCATTCGATTTATGAACTTGAAATTTAATCCTAATGTCTCACTAAACTTAGAGTATTAAATATATATTCATTTTCTTTTAGCTTATCTTAATATTCAGACATTGTTATTCAAAAATAATAAATAAATTAATTTAATATAAAATGGCCGATGAAAATCCAGATGATAATAATTTTGAATTCATCAAATTCCTTCCTGAAGGTGATCAAAAGACCAAGTCTTCTAGAGATTATACTGGTAAAGGATAAGCCAAATATGCCAATAATGAAATCTATGAAGGTGATTATGTTGATGGAGTAACTGTTTCAAATCTAATTCTTAGAAAAGAAATGGTAAAGGCAAATATAATTATGCCAATGGTGATGTATATTTTGGAGATTTCATCAATAATGCTAAACATGGAATTGGTAAATTAACATACAAAGAAAAGGGAGACTATTTCGGTTTCACTCTCATTTATTATTTTAGGTTAATGGGAAAATGGTAAGAGACATGGAGAAGGAATTTTCACTTATCCAAACAAAGACTAATATAGTGGTTGGTGGGCATTTGGTAAAAAAGAAGGCAATGGAACATATATTTATAATGATACTGGAATGAGAGTAATTTCTTAATATCTATAATTACATAGTTAGTTGGTTAATGGAAAGAAAACAAATTTGTATCTGGAAGATGGATTCTACCTAATGGTACATATTATGATGGAGAATTTGATAATAATAAACCTAACAAGACTGGAATCTGGTACTTTAAGAATGGTAATAAAATATAAGGAACATACAATCAAAAAATAATTCCAAATGATGATCCTGATGATAAGAAACTTAATATAGAAATGAAATGGGCATCTAATGGATATTTATATTAAAACGCAGATTTAGTGAATGCACATGAAAAATTCTGAATTATCATATTAATATAGGAGATTCTTAAAATCATTCATTATATAATTTTAATTATTCCTAAATTATATAAAAGGAATTACATTCTTTTTATTTATTCTAATATTTTCAGTATCTAAAACATGTTTTTCAATATTTTCATCTTTATCAAATCCAAAATTTAATATAAAATTATTTGATTTTGAAGGACTCTCTCGACCTTTAAGTGTAGGAGATGCTATAGTTTCAGGTATTCTCCTATCAAATAAACATAATTGTAATATTTCTAATAACATGGCAACAAAAGTAAGCACTAATTCAGGTATACAAAGAGGCATTAATTCTGCATCAATTATATCTCTCATATAAACAAGATTCAATATGTTTGACCAATCAGTACATTTCTAAATATAATTATATCATTATTAATACATTTTCAATATAATTATGCATAGTAGTTCTAAAATGAGCTAGAAATCCCAATTTAGTACCAACAATAGCTAAATGTGCCATATGAAGAAGTATGAGGAATGTTGTAGGACAATAGAATTTCCAAGTCACTTTATAAATTTTATGTTTAAATATCCCTTTTCTAGTTAAATTTTAAACTATTGCAGAATGAAATATGGCTCCAAAACCCATCAAACAACCTAAATTGATATGATCAATAATTACCTGCCATAATTAAAGCAATTAAAAATACAAGTTAAATATAATTGTCTCTATAATTAGAAACATCGATTTATTTAATAGTACAATTATATTCAGTAAACTTTTAACCAAAAAGACCAAATTTTGGTATTTCATCAAAATACTCTAATCCAGGTAAACTATCATAAGGATATTCATTTTCTTCAAATAATAAATATTGATCAAATTCATCTATATAAGCATATTCTGATGATTAAATAACACATTTATAAGCTGATTCTAATAATGGATATTGATTAATTGACTCTCCATTCTCATAGCAAACATCTATTCCATAACTTAAAGTAAAATTGTAATAAGATTGAGTAATATTTTCTTTGGAGATTAGATCTTCATAATTTCCACAATCATTTTGATTATTTTTAGTTTAACAAACCCCATTACAAATAGCTGTGCAATTTCTTTCATAAAATAATTCTCTATAAGTATATTAAGATCTTTTTCCACATATTGAATATCCCTTCCAGATTACAAAATCTTAAGATTAAATAGAAGCAATTTCATCACAACCCTCATCAATTTCAGATTCTTAACAATGTTCATTTTTCAATTTATCATAATCAATTTCAACATTCTCATCTTCTTCTCCAAATCCACAATCACATCCTTATTATTGGCTTTATATAAATACCACTTGAAGTTTCTGGGTAGTTATATGCAAAGAAGGTTTCAAGATCAGATGGACATTTTGAACCATAAACTTTTTGAATTTCAATAATGGGTTTGAATTCCCAATTATCATATAGATTTCTATCCATTTTGTAATGATTTATGTATAGAATCAAAGCTAATGGAAATATGATACACTCTATAAGGAAATTAAGATATTGAACAGAAGCAGCAAAGTGAGTAGATTTCCAATAACTAGGTTTTTGTTTCATTAAATAAAATATTAGAATTATATATCATGTACTTACATTTACTAATTTCTCCATTGCGAATAATATTTTCTTAGATGATTTGTAATGTTTCTAGGGATCAATTAACAATTCACATATTCGTTACAAAGTAAAAGGTGGCCTAGTATAATAGATGAAAAATAATATACTTTTATTCAAAAACACAAAGGAATTGAAGTACTATATCTAATTCATCTTCAAAGCCTTCAGTTTGAGCAGTCTTTTCATATGGGAAAAGCTTTTGCATATTTAATAACATATTTCTTGTTGTAATGACAATAAGAGATCTCAAATGGAGCCAGTTATATTTTTGAATTTCACCATTCTAAGAGATAGATTCCAAAATAGGTTTTAATTGTGTCATTAAATTATTGATTTGATTGGGTATCTCCTTTGAATATGAAATAAAATCTTTTACTTTCTTAATTCGAATTCCTTATTAGATTTAACTGACAATCTCTTGGGTTTGTTCATAGAAATCTTTGAGTTGTGTCTAATAGTCATGTTGAATCATTTCTTTATTTTCATTCATTTTTATTTAATTAATTAATATATAAGGCTTTGCTGAAGTATAAAGTATGAGTGTTGATTGTAGTTAAAATGAATGTAATTATTATTCATTCAATCCCCTATAATATCTATATGAGAAAAGAAATCTAATAATAATAATTAAATTAAGATGAATCCTATTTAATAAGCATGGTTAAAAATCCTGAATCCAGTATCTGCTGTAATCAATGAGAAATTAGCCAAACGATCAGGATTATTGGGTAAGATTGGAAGATTCTTTCTTATTGGCCCAAGAGAATTTGGATATCATCCAACAAACTAAATGTTCATTTATTTCAATAGAAGAGTGCTCTTTGCAACAGCTTTCATGGGTCATAAATACTCAGTGTTAAAGTAATTAACATCAATATATTTACAATAGAGGATTAACACATTAAGGATATCATATGTTAAGACCAATGAGAGCAGCAGTATTCTTGGGACCAATAGCTGTATTGGCAGGTCTATTTAGATTAGTCTACTATTCTTCTGAAAATAGATCATATTAGTATGCAATTTTATTTGGATAGTTAGTCCTGATAATTTGGATTACGTGATGAAGAAAGCAACTAATTCATTACATTTTCCATTAAATACATTGAATCAAAGATTATCAGCACATTACACAGAAATTAGTTCTATTTATACAGCTGAAATGATGAAGAGAGTAATAATACATTTATATTCAAATCTTAGTATCATAAATAACATGCCAAAATAATCAAGGAGAGAGCAACATAATCAGAACATGTTAAGAAAACTAAATATGCTGATCCATCATATAAATATGTCCCAATGACTCCAGTCCACATAGATGATGTAAAACTCGCTTGAGATAAATAATATAAATATCATGTTAACAATCTTCGATGAGTTTTATAATAATAAAAATATCCCAGACTTCCTTGATGATGATGGCATACTATTGAATAAGGAGAACAATATTCAATTGAAAGAATTGTAAGGATATTTATAACTTATAATCCATTAGTTTAGTCAATAATGAGGAATTAGTAACATAGATGCTCTCCTTTTTTGAATATGATGAATTAGAAACTGATCACAAGCGTGTAATCAAATATCCTTTTGTCGTAAGCGAATTATTGGGCTCACTTTATGCTTTAAATGAAAAACATCTAAATATCCTTATCCGATTGTTGAATTCGTAAAATACTCTACCTTCTATCACTATTGGATATATAAGTAAAGTGATTATGAATGTTCTTAAACACAATCCTTGTATTGTAATCATCAATCTTAATAATTTAGTTTTGGTAAAATGTCTAATTGTAATAATTGGGTATTTTACTACAAGATATCAATAATTATTCCATAGCTGAATTAATCTATTCTATGATTATATATTAAACATAAGAGAATTAATTGGAGTATTTGGAATAAAGAATAGAATTAGTCAATCATTTATTGAATGAGATCAATACTGATAAAAGTGAAGGAATTTCAAATGTAATATGTATGTTATTAAATCAAATTACTGAAACACTTCAAGAATAGAAATCTCTAATTATTAAACATTTATTTACAAAATTAGACATTTTTTTATCTGCCTTGCCTTAAAGACCATAACCAATATTAAGTGTCCTCATAAATTTAATTAAACATCAATAATACTATGAATCTGAAGTCAATTAAATTTATAATCATTTTCTTGAAAGATCATAAGAATTATTTTAAGATTTGCTGAAAAATGAAAGTTCTTTTGGTTAAAATAATCTATCATATATTTAATTTTATGATGTACTTACGAATTAACCTTATATATTACAGAATATCAATGCCTAATATTTAATATTCGCATTGTTTGTATATTATTATATTATAAATAGCAACTAATACAAAAGTATCAATATAATAATCAATTACATAAATATGCTACAAATATCATCCTTAAATTAATTCCTTAAACTGACAATCAATAATTACTATAGATAGCCCTTTCTGAATTTAAGTATTTATATTTAATAATTTAGGATTAAACCAATAAAAGAAAATAGAGGATATGTGATTTAAATAATTAATAAAATATATGAAGTGAATTCTAATCTATAAATTTAAGAGGAAGAATTATCAAATGTCAATTAAATTCAGAATAATTATTTTTTTGGATAGATACCTGATTAGAAACCTATATTCAATTTACAAGAAGAATTTGAAGCAGCAATGAATAAATTATAGATATGAAATCATTAAATTTGTTCCTCATCTTCATCAGAACTACTTGGCATATCATAATTTCTTTATCCTGTATTCTCTTTCTTTTAAGCCATCTCTAGATACTTTTATTCTGCAATTCTTAATTCTTTATCATTTTAACAGTCAGCATATAAATCAAAAGCATCTTTATTTATCTTAAAGAAGTTCTCTCCCCATGTAAATTTACTTAGAATATAATCTGCTTATTCTCTTCTTCCACATAGAGCTAATGTAGCTGCAATAGCTTCTACACAGGATAATTTAAATTATTTTCCAAAATTAACAGGATTTACAGCAACCATATGAGGTAATAATCTTTCATTTGGAGAGACATATGTAATTTCTTCTATTTTTGCCCATGAACAATCAATTACACATATCCCTTTTTATAATAATTCTTCATCATCTTTTGATACATATTTCTTCCCATTTGCACTTACTATTATTCCTTAAAATTTCACTTTTGGTTTTATTGCTGTCAATAATTTAAATCTTTCCATTTTTCTACCAGTACATTTCTTTACATCACATTAACCATAATCAATCATAAATAATTTAACATCATTCAATCTTTCATCTATCTTATTTATTTATTATTCATCATCATCTTCACTTTAATCTTAACTATTACTCTATTAATTATTTATTTATTATAATTAATGTAATGTTATTTATTATTGATGACCTTATTATTATTTTTAATCTCTTTTATCTGATCTTGCTTTTTTCCAATTTTAATACCTCTATTTATTATTCATTAATTTTATTTTTAATATATACAATTATATACATATGAAGGCTAATCGATTTATTATCCATAATCCTACTATTGAATCTTATTAATTAGAAGAGTATTACAATCATTTCAAAAGAATGGAAGATATTGATAAAGAAAAAATGAATATTTATAAAAATATAGAGTCCAATAAGTCAGCATCTAATTACAGATTTCTAATGTTACAATAAACATCCAAATTTAATAAACAACAATTATAAAATGCTCAAGATCATCTACAAAAAGTATTGTTAACAATATTTTACATAAGTTATTGGATAATAAAATAGAAAGAATCAAAGTGAGGGATAATCCATATGTAAATTAAACTAGATTAAGAGGTATATCTTAAGTTGATCTAAAAAGTCCAAATATTAGTTTTAATAGTTCTTTAGAGAATCTCAACTTAATGAAAAAGCTTTAATCTCTTAAACCCAATATATCTAAGAAAGATTTGGATTCCCATTATGAAAAATAAAAGGAATATGGAAATAGATTAAGAAAACTACCAAAACTTCCAGATTCAGATAAAAAATATCACTATTTTTTTTGATTTGTATAATTTAAATCAGTCAAACTAATTTTAAAAATCTTCCAAAGAATCTTATTCTGAGACATTATCATCCTATTATAATGATTTAATCTAAATATTGAATCTTTCATTCAATATCAAAATCCTCTTGTATAACTCTTCATTTTCTTATTATACATTTGTTTAAAATTATTGACTTAATGTTGGATTTTCTTTATTAAAAGCAATCCAAAATTTTTCAAAATTTTAATCACTAACATAATTCTAAGTCACAGCCACACAATCTTCAATATTCAACACAGCATGCCACCATCCATTTGGAACATAAACAGTCTCATGTTCACTCTAGATAAAATCATAATATTGAATATTTTATTAATCACAATATTCCTTTATTAAAGGAACTATGATACTAAAATAATCAATAGGATTATTAATAGTTGATAATACTTCCTAACTAATTAAGGATTTTCCTTTGATTATAATAATAATTATCATACCTTTAACAATATTCTTATCTATAGATGGAGGAAACATAACCCATCTTTTTTTACCTAAGACAACACTATTCCAAGCAGATGTTTCATAAGGATCTATATGAATCATTGATCCCGATTGCTTAGGTCTAATATATCAATAGATTTACCCACATAAAATCCATCTATATTATGGTCTTTTCTACTTCAAATTAGCTAGGTAGTCCTATGGAAATAAGTATGGTATCTTGTATTAATTTAGCATATTTTTAGGGATATCTCCATCAAATATATATAAGGGATTATAATCACTATTGTCTTAAAAATATTGAATGTATTAATCAAATCTTAATTTTAAATAGTTGCCATCATCATCTATGGCACACCTAAAATAACAATCTTTATAATTTTGGATTAAATAATCCCAATTCCAATTTTCCCAATCTTCATCCAACCCATTAATAATTACTGGAACCTTAGAATCATATTAGGTTTAAAATTCTTTAATAGATAAATTAGAATCAAATTTGATTGGAGATTGTTCAACTTTTTAAAGTAATAAATCTTTGAATCTTTATTGATATTGAAGTGATGGTCTTTGTTAGTATTTAAGAAAGATTTTTAATTCATCAACATTCTTGAATTCAAATTATTTTTATGATTGGTTCATAAATAAAAAAATAATGAATGAACCTATATTGGATCTAATGATTATATTTATATTTTTTAATAAAAAAACAATTAAGTTCGTTAAATGAATTAAGCCTCAAGTTCTCTCTCCAGAAACTTTTATAATTATAATGGAACTGCATATTCAACAGATAGCATGAGAGTGTATAGTAAATCTCCTAAAAATGCATAATAATACATTAATCGATATTAACCCTGTATTTATTCAACAATGAGCAATATCTAAAATTTACAATCTCTAAAAAACTAAATATCTTAATTACAATCTGTTTTAACTCAATAACATCGAAAAAGTAG